AAAAGAGAGAGATTCTGCCCTGGATGAGAAAAATTAAAGAAGTTAACAATGCTTTTTAGCATAAGTACCTGTCGTAACTTGGAAGTAGCAGAAATTGTTGAAAGCAACTAAACAATAAGCGAAAGTTATAAAAGACACAAAGTTGGGGTGGCGATGAAGCACAGAAACGAGTCCGTAGATTGTGGTAAGAAGCATTGAACTGTGTGTGTAATTATGGGTAAGATCATTTAAAAAAGACAGCTCTGCAGAGTAGTGACAAATAAGCATACGGAGTATTTGTAAAATATTAATTGCATTTCCTTCTCCCTCGCGATAACAATAATAATGTGGGGCGGCACACTGTGACGTCCAAAAAGGTGCAGTCATCTTTTGAGACGCTGGCGTTTTCCCTCTTGGTCTTTTTTCTGCTTTCTTCGTTTTTCTGTCACACGCGTAAATTGCATAAAATTGAGTTTTAGAAGAATATCCACCTGGCCGTAGTTTTTTTTTTAAAAGATCTCTGTTTCAGTTGACCAAAGAACTGCGCCGTTTATACGTGTGTACGAAAGGTGCAAAACACCAAGAAGAAAAACAATCTGGTTTTTGTCTAATAGAGAATATCGGGTAACATTGTGGATTAGGCCTTAGGACCCACCACGCGGTCAAGGGGGGGTCAGAGTGAAGACGTAGAGTTGAGCCACGCAGACAGCTGATGGCGGTTGCAATTACACGTTGGAGTTTTGCTTTGTTTTTTTTTGTGTTTTTTTTTTTTTTTTTTTTTGTTTTTTTTTTTTTTTTTTTTTTGTTTTTTTTTTTTTTTTTTTTTTTTTTTTTTTTTTTTTTTTTTTTTTTTTTTTTTGCTGTGTCCAAGTTTACATTTTTTTAATGGAAAAGTTATGAGGGGGGGGGGGGGGGGTCAGATTGGGAAGTGTGAATAAGGTTAAGTGTGTGACCCTAGGAAGTAATAAAGGTGTCATGGTCCGCGGCCCGGCGTCCGGGGTGCTGCTGGGATGTCCACGCCCACGAGCGTGGCTGCTAACCCCACACCTGCATCCCATCCCAGGCGATCATCAGGTGGACTATTTAATCCTGCCCTACCTGCTGCTCCACGCCAGTCCGTAGTCGCCTCTCAGCGGTAACGTACGCCTGCGGGAAAAGAACTCTTATGACAAACTCTCCATCGGACCTAACACTGTTTTTTTTCCCTGTGTACCCAGATCACAACTCGGCGTGTTTTTGTTTACGAGCCACCTGCCTGTCCACCTGTCCGCCTGAGATTCGGTTCACCATCAGCTTCGCCGTCTCGACCCCTTTTGGAGCTCCACCCCCCCCCCTCTGGTTCACTCGGCCCGGCTATCACCGTGAGACGCACACTCCACCTTCCCTCGTATGCTGCCTTTTTGTTTTTCTTCTTTTCTTTTTTTTGTCTTTTTTTTTTTTTTTTTTTTTTAGTGCAGTTTTTCTTTTTTCCGCACTCCAGTAATCTGTCTCTCTTTTTGTTTTACAGCCTCTCACAGCCCCGCTCTCGGCGTTCCCTGCGCGGTCCCTCGGTTTCTTCTGGTTCCATACGTTGATTTTCAGGCTACCCTCACGGGACACCTTTAGTTACAATAAAAATTACTTCCTTTATTCGCTCCTACCCTAGTGTGTGTGTTCTGCTACTGGGTCCTGCCTGCGCTCGGAACTTCGGTTCATGACAGTACGGACTGGCCAGTATGGACCCAGCAGATCCACTCCGCTCCGCTATTAATAAACAGGGCGCTATCCTCGGTCGCCACGATCAGCAGCTCCAGTCTCTCCAAGACCGGTGTCAAGAGCTCAGTGACACCCAGAATAAATTACAAACTAGGCCGTCCGACCCCGTGCACCGCGGCGTGTCACCTCCGCCGCTGGAACCCTTCCACGGGGAGCTGGACCTGTGTGGGGGGTTCCTTTTCCAGTGCTCCTTGTTTTTCAGTCGCACGCCTCACGCGTTCCCCACGGATGCTGCTAAGATCTCCCACTTCGTGGGATTGTTACGGGGGCGTGCTCTAGCATGGGCTGAAGCCTACTTAAATTCTCACCCTATTCGTGATTGCGATTACGATGAATTCCTGGAGGAGTTCCAGGCTACGTTTTCCCCTCCGGTGAAGGTTCGTCAAGTCCATGGTTATCTCCAGTGTCATCGTTAGTCAAGGAGCTTGCCAAAGAAAATGCGTCTTTGAGCTGGAGTGACTTTCCTTCTTTTAAGTCAAAGGACTTGGAAAGAAAAGCGTCTGGACTGCTTGAAGACGTTTCACCTCTCATCCGAGAAGCTTCTTCAGTTCTAAGGTCAAATGGTGGAGAGTCCCAGATATAAACCTAGTGGGAGTAACCCCCCACAGAGGGACAAAAGGACCCCCTGATGATCCTCTAATCGCCTGAGCCAAGGTGTGAAACTGGGTGTGGGTCCCAATCAGCCAGAGTTTCGGGTGAGTTCATTGTGAAACCTGGCCCCACCTTATCATGCGAATTCCTGAGATCAGATGGCCCAGGATGTGAGTGGGCGTTAAGGCGTCTGGGGAGGGATCTCAAAACTGGATTATAGATGGCAGAGAGTTGGTGTCGTAAACCACCGCCTCTGTTCAAAGATGGTCGCTCACAGTGGACATAGATGCTTCTTTCACTCCTCTTTCAAACCATCTGTCCTCTCTGTCCAAAATGTGAACATTGGCATCCTCGAAAGAGTGACCTTTATCCTTAAGATGCAGATGGACTGCTGAGTCTTGTCCTGTGGAGGTGGCTCTTCTGTGTTGTGCCATGCGCTTGTGAAGTGGCTGTTTGGTCTCTCCAATGTAGAGGTCTGGGCATTCCTCGCTGCACTGTACAGCATACATCTCACCCTATTCGTGATTGCGATTACGATGAATTCCTGGAGGAGTTCCAGGCTACGTTTTCCCCTCCGGTATCGGAGGACGATGCCGCGCAGAAGTTGCTGGGGCTCCGTCAGGGGCGGCGCAGTATTGCGGAGTACCTAGTTGAATTCCGTACTCGAGCGGTCGCCGTGGGTTGGCCCGATTCGGCTCTTCGTGGGTTTTTTTTACGGTCATTAAATGACCAGATGAAGGACCAACTAGCTTTTCACGAGGAGACCAGATCCTTTGATGAATTGGCCTCCCTCTCCCGTAGGATTGACAGACGCTTGCGGGAGAGGGATGCCGAGTGGCGGTCTAAGCCTATGGGCTCCGTATTGCGCCCCGGGATTCGCGTTTCTCCGCCCCCGCCCCCAGCTGCGTGTGCGCGCTCTCCGTCGCCGCCCCTGCCCGAACCCATGCAGATCGGACGCTCTCGGCTTTCTCCGGAGGAGAGGGAACGCCGATTTCGGGCTGGAGAATGTCTGTACTGTGGGAGGCCCGGTCACCGCATCGCTGTTTGCCCGGTCCGCCCAAACGACCCGGCCCACCGGTGAGTCCGGGGATACGGGTGGGCAGCACTCTAAGCACTACTAGACCCCGATTGTTACTGTCCGTTACTATCGTGACTTCTAATCAGACTTTTACATGCCCCGCGTTAGTGGACTCCGGGGCGGAACAGAACCTTATGGATGAGAAGCTGGCTAAGAGGCTAGCTGTGTCTCTAACTCCACTCGAACCGCCCATCCCTGCGTCTACATTAAACAACCAAGTGTTTGCATACATAACTCACCAAACCGCGCCTGTACGGTTAATCACATCAGGTAACCACCAAGAGCAGCTGTCCTTTTTCACTTTTCCTGCTCCTGACACCCCGCTTATCCTAGGCTACCCCTGGTTACAGAGACATAACCCACACATAGATTGGGCCGGAAAAAGTATCGCGAGCTGGAGTGTGTTTTGTCTGGCGAACTGCCTGAGGTCAGCCGTTCCCTCCGCCTCAACGGAACGGAGGCCCGCCCCGCCACCCGCGCCGGACCTCTCTTCCGTGCCCCCCGACTATCACGATCTCCAGCAGGTGTTCAGTAAAGATGAGGCGCTCTCACTCCCGCCTCACCGTCCATATGACTGTGCTATCGATCTGCTCCCGGGTGCATCGCTGCCCTCTAGCAGATTATACAACCTGTCTCGCCCCGAAAGAGAAACCATGGAGAATTACATCCAGGAGTCGCTAACTGCAGGACGTATTAGGCCGTCATCCTCTCCCGTGGCTGCGGGTTTTTTCTTCGTGGGAAAGAAAGACGGGACGCTCCGCCCGTGCATCGATTACAGGGGGCTGAATGACGTCACCGTCAAAAACAAATATCCCCTCCCACTCATTAGTTCTATTTTTAACTCACTCCAGGGAGCTACGGTCTTCACCAAACTAGATCTGCGGAACGCCTACCACCTGGTACGGATACGTGAAGGCGACGAGTGGAAGACCGCCTTCAATACCCCACTAGGGCATTTTGAATATCTGGTGATGCCGTTCGGGTTAACGAACGCCCCGGCGGTTTTTCAAGCCCTAGTCAACGACGTGTTACGGGATTTCCTGAACGTGTTTGTTTTTGTTTACCTGGATGATATTTTGATTTTCTCCAAGACGCTCGAGGACCATCGCATCCATGTGAGGAGCGTGCTACAACGACTGCTCGAAAATAGACTGTACGTAAAAGCGGAAAAGTGTGAGTTCCACGCCTCATCCATTTCCTTCTTGGGCTACATCCTCGCTGGTGGGCAGGTGAAGACCGACCCGGTGAAGATCAAAGCAATATTGGAATGGCCGGTTCCGGAGACACGAAAGAAGCTTCAGAGCTTCTTGGGGTTTGCGAATTTTTATCGCCGTTTCATTCGAAACTACAGCCAGGTGGCCGCGCCTCTCACCCAACTCACCTCACCCAAGGTGTCTTTCACATGGTCCCCTGAGGCCTACGCAGCCTTCGCTAAATTGAAGCGATTATTCACGTCCACACCCATTCTGACCCATCCTGACTCTTCTAAACAGTTTGTTGTTGAGGTCGACGCGTCTGATGCGGGAGTCGGGGCGGTTCTTTCCCAGCGGTCTGGGCCCCTGAACAAACTCCGGCCGTGCGCCTTTTTCTCACGCCCCTGAGGCCTACGCAGCCTTCGCTAAATTGAAGCGATTATTCACGTCCACACCCATTCTGACCCATCCTGACTCTTCTAAACAGTTTGTTGTTGAGGTCGACGCGTCTGATGCGGGAGTCGGGGCGGTTCTTTCCCAGCGGTCTGGGCCCCTGAACAAACTCCGGCCGTGCGCCTTTTTCTCACGCCGACTCACCCCCGCGGAGAGGAATTACGACATCGGCGACAGGGAACTCCTAGCGGTAAAACTCGCATTGGAGGAATGGCGTCACTGGCTGGAGGGGACCGAACAGCCCTTCGTTACGGTGGCCCTGAGAGGCCAAACGGACTGCAACTTCAGAAAACACTTGCAAAAAGAAAAATGCTGCAAAAAGAAAAACTGCAAAAAGAAAAAAGCTTCAAAAAAAAAATGCTGCAAAAAGAAAAAGCTGCAAAAAGAAAAATGCTGCAAAAGCACACAAAGCACAACGGAAATAGGAAAAAAGACAACGGAAATGCTGGGGAGAAAAAAAAGAAAAAAAAAGACAACGGAAATGTTTCTGGGGAGACAATAACCGAACGGACCAGTTGCACGAACCAAAACATGTATGTATGGCTGTATCCCAATTCAGGGACTGTTTCCCAATTCAGGGTCTGCAGCCTTAAACGGTCCTCAAGGGCCGCA